TGTTTTCTCATTTCGACTGGGTGGGGGGCTGTTAGCGCCTGCACATATTACCTCCTCTGAGCTGGGAGAGGTGTGACAGGGGCTGGGAGCAGCGGTAGGTATGGTGGCCCAAAAGCCCTTTCCTGTGGGCTGGGAGCAGCCGGAGGGATGGTGGCTGGGAAACCCCTTCCTCTGGACCAGGAGCAGTGGCATGGTGGTTCAGTAGCCCCTCCCTGTGCGCCGGGAGCGGTGGGAGGTATGGTGGCCCGAAAGCCCCTTCCTCTGGGCCAGGAGCAGCGGGACAGAAGGTGGCCCAAAAGCCCTTTCCTCTGGGCTGGGAGTAGCGGGTGGGATGGTGACCGGGAAGCCTCTTCCTCTGGACCAGGAGCAGTGCGACGACCGCTCAGAAGCCCCTACCTCTGGGTCGGGAACAGTTCGACTCAGTACCTTTTTCTGGTGGTCTGGTGTCCTCTGCCTCTTTGTAGTGTGGAATCAGGTGGCTGCCTGTCTGCAGCAGGGTGATTCGGTATCTTCCGCGTGACTCAGGACCTCGGTAGGGCTTGCACAGACCTGCCTGTCTGCAACGGGCTGATTTGGCCTGTGTTCCGCGTGACTGGGGACCTCAGTAGGGTGTGGGCAGACCTGGCTGTCTGCATTGGGGTGATTCAGCGTCTTCCGCCCGACTCAGGACCTCGTTAGGGCATGCACAGACCTGCCTGTCTGCAGCGGGGTGATTAGGCATCTTCCCCATGACTCAGGACCTTGGTAGGGCGTGCACAGACCTGCCTGTCTGCAGCGGGCTGATTTGGCCTGATCTGTGCGACTCAGGACCTAGGTAGGGCATGGGCAGACCTGCCTGTCTGCAGCGGGGTGACTAGGCGTCTTCCGCGTGACTCAGGACCTCGTTAGCTTCTTTTTCTTAGTATTAGTATTATATATCTTTCCTGATTCCTTTACTTTTTTTTTTGAGGTGCTAGGCCTCGTGTATGCTGGGCAAGTGCTTTACATTCCCAGTCCTTTTTTATTTTACTTATCTTTTTAGTGGTAATGGGGATTGAACCCAAGGACATCCTTAAATACATTCTTTGCTCTGTATATAGGGTATGTAAAGCCCTAATGAGTCCTTTTACAACATCTAGTCTTCCTAGATATTAAAGAATTTGCCAGTTTTGACAAAAGTAGTTAATAAACTAACAAATTTTGTACATTTTGTTTTAAAATTCCTAGGAAAGATTGTCTTCTGAAAATTTGAGCATTTTAGCCCATTGGGTGGAGAAAGGAAGGGTTGTAGACAAGAATGCTCATAATTTCAAGCCACTTTCAATTTATAACTATTGCTACATGTGTACAGTTTAATCAAGACTGCTCTTTGTATATAATGGACAACTTGAGTCCTTACTTGAAACACCTAGTCTTATCTAGATGTTTAGAAGCGCCCAACATATGTTAAATGTAGAGATAGTAAAATATCACTTTGCTTATATCTTTTTGCTTAAAATTAATATGAAATGTTGTCTTTTGGGAATGGAATGGTTAAACAACCTCTGTGAGCAATGTGATACTCTGTGTTCTTGTTCAGTTTTTTGGAGGAAGTGGGAGGGAAGCAATTACAAAAGGTAGTATGTTAGTGCATTTGTACTTGGACATTTTCAAACATCATTTTTCTGTATGTTTTGTGAGTTCTGTTTTGCAGTGTATATAGTGTATATAATGGGCAAATAAATTCAAATTTTGCAACATCTATTTCCTAGATCTTAAACAGGTTGCCAGTGTGCGACAAAGTAGTTAGTAAAGTTCGCACATTTTGTAGACTTTGTGTTGAAATATGCAGATAAGCTTGTCCTCTGTATATGAATTTTGAATTCAACCATCTCTAATATTACATATGCTTATAGTTATCCACTGGGTTGAAGGCATAGAAAAAGAAGTGAGGAGGGAATGGTTCAAGGCCAAAATGGTCATATTTAGAAGGTACCTCAGATTTTAACCATTGTTACATAGGCAATTTTAATTATCAGTGCTGTGTGATAACAGACAAGTTCTTTTTTGGGGCATGTTAGAAGAGTTTTATTGGAAACAAGAAGACTAGCTCCTGGATTTCTCACAACCCACTTATATGGGTGGCACCTGAGGCTCTTTGTCAGGGGTAATTTTATAGCAAAATCACAATGTGGGTACAATGTAGGTCAAACTACAATCAACCTACAGGTTTATAAGTACAGTTATTTAGCTAATATTGGTCCAATAGAGAAGCGAGGCACTTAGCAAGGGTATATGGCAAGCATTATTCATCATTAACTTCAGCTAATCTGTAACTTCTAATTGTAGAAAGGAAAAAGGTGTTCCTGTAAAGGGATGGGAGTATGAGTCCAGATGTTCTAGTAACCCACCTATGTGAGGAGACAAGTTCTTATATGAAAAAATCTAGTTCTAGACATGAAGAAATACTTGATATATTTAAGTGTAAAAATAGTAGGATAACACTTTCTGTAAATAGCTTTTAAAAACTGATGGGAAATACTATGTTTGGAAATAGTGTATTTAAACCACCTCTGAAAAATAATCTTTTATAGAAGGGAAAAAATTTTTATTTCACCATCCATGTTGGCCTACAGATTTTAATTTGCTTACCTCTCTTTTATTTGTTAAGTCTTTATATATATTTCTATTTGCTTCATGAGTTCATAATTACTTTTTCAAGTGGTTTAAAGTAACTGTTTAAATAATTAAAAGCAGATAACTCCAACACTTGTGGTGTCTCATCACTGACTTCTATTCTTTTTCATGTAAGCTGAAATTTTCAAAGGTCTTCATACAGTGAATAATTTTTTATTGAATCCTAGATATTTTTAATATTAATGTTTTCAGTTTCTTGGCCTTATTTAAATTTTATGACAACGTTGATATTTTCACTTCAGCAGGCAATCAACCTGGTTGGATGCAGGCCATGTTTTTCAACTTGTCTTCTGTGAGATAGGGTTCTGGCATTGGTTCAGTTTTACAGGGCTTTGTCTGTTCGTGTGTGTGTATGTGTGTGTGTGTGTATGTGTATGTTGCTGTGGATTAAACTCAGGACCTTATGAATGCCAGGCACATGCTTCAACATTGAGCTACAGTTCCAACCCCTGCAGTGGTCTTGAGATTTTGCCTTCATATACAAGTCTCATTGGTTAGTCTGTATCTGGCAAAGGTTTACCCTTAGCTCAGTTATCAATGTCTTTGATATGCAAATTAAGCCATCTCTATGATTGCTTAGGTTGTGGAGGATTTGCTAATCAACTTTCTTGTGTTATGAGAGTTAGAAAAATCTTCCATGTTAGACATTTAAAATATTTCCATGTACTTAACCTTTATAAGTGGAAAATAGAAACTTCTTGACATTTGAGATTCTTGCTATTACTCAAGACATTCTTTGTGATCTATATTCAACATTTTAGTAGGAGCTACTCACTGGTGTGGCAAGTTGTGACACTGCCATGAAAATCCATGTCTTGACCTGTAAAACGAGAGTATATGACAAAAATCTCAAAGGTCCTTCAGGTACAAAATTTAGTGTTTGATTTAGAGAAGCACTGGGCCATATGCAGAGGTTATGTGTGTCTGCGTGTACTTTTTGCACCAATGTTCTTTGATAGTATTGGTTTGTTTCCTTAATTCTTTACTTCTTTCTCCATAAAGGATATTTGGATCCTTAATCAAAATTTTATTTTGATTGGTTGGTTTGTGTGTTTAGGCTTGTTTTTCTGTTTCATTTTGATCTTTTTTTTTATGTGGTTGTTATATTTTATTTTCCAAATAATACTGATTAAAAATATTTACACACCTACTTTTAAGTCCACAGTTTAGCACTCGTATTTGTATGGCTTTAAGAGTTATAGCACAAGATCTTTACATTAAGGATTGGGGGAAAAATTCAAAACAAAGCCTGATATATACACATCTTTCTCTGTACTTTATTTTAAATACATTAATTTTTAAATGA